CGACCCCTGTGAAAGGGTCGTCGACCCCCAAAGGGGTTGCGACCACAGGTGAGAGCTGCTGCGCTAGGAGGCGCTGGCCTGTTAACTTGGGGAAGGACAGGCTCAGAGGGCACAGCCGGCACCTCTTGGTTCTTGAACCCCCTGAGGCGGTGGTAGGACATGAGCCTGAGGGTGGCGCCCTGCCCTGAGGGAGGGAGCTCCCCATCACAATGGGTGCATGACCTTTAGGACTCCCTGCAGCGGGGAGCACTAGGATGGGCCTGCCCCCTTACCTGCCCACAGCCCCAGGCTCACCTGATGTGGTTGTCGGTCAGCTGCTTCAGGATCTGCACGTATACCTCGTCCTTGAGGGGCTCAGCCTTCAGGGCTCCCTCAAAGATCTGGTCGGTGAGCTCGTTGACGGAGCGCATCCTCTTGGATGGGTAGTCGCCCATGTACTTGAGCATGGCTGGCGGGGGGGAGGGAGGGGCGCGTAAAGGAAGGGCTTGTGGCCGCGGGGGCGGCACTGGGCCAGGAGGCAGGAGGCCCTGGGCATCGTTTTCCCACCCTGCCGTCCTTGTCCACCGCCCACCCCTCTCCTCAACTCCCGCGGCCGCCTCCTCAGGCCCCCAATCCTCTATCCGAAGTGCTCGCAGCACCAGGAGGCACGGTCCAACTCACTAATCTGTGCCAGCCCTGCCCAGGGGTCCCCATGGCCTCGGGACACAGTCCAGGCTTCTTCACAGGACCGGAACCCTTCGTGAGCCAGCCCACATCTTCAGAGTCCCTTCTTGGACCTGCCCGCCAGCTGTGCCCTGGAACACCTGCTCTGTTCTGCCTCCGGGCCTTTGTGCAGGCTGCTCCCTGTGTCTGGAACACTCCCCACCTGTCTCCCCTTTGACTGGCTAAGTAAGTCCTACTCAGTTTTCAGGTATCAGCCAAGAAACCACTTCCTCCAGGGAGCCCTCCCTGCCCTCCTCCAAGGCTGGGTCAGGTCACTGCGCTGCCAACCCCATCACAGCACTGATCCCGGTCAGCATGTCTCCCCTGAGGCCCGGGACTGGGTCTGGTCACCACTGTGTCTTGATGCCTGGCCCAGCACATGGCAACAGTACTGTCAACTGAGTAACAGGCAGGAGAGACGATGGTGAGGTGGCTCCTTGCACACTGTAAGGTGCCGGCACATGGATGGAGGGGCTCCATCAGCATCCCGCCACATCTGCCCAGGACCCAACTGAACCCCAGAGGGAAGCAGGCGTCTAGATGGAAACCCTAGAGGCCGAGGCCCGGCCCCACCCTGCCCTGCGGTCCCCTCCCCGCGCCCACCCCGTCGGTGCGGGTACCGATGAAGGCCATGCAGGCCTCCTGCGAGAGCTCCTCGCTGCCCAGGATCTTCTTGAGCAGCGCCTGCTTCAGCGGCTCCCGCGTGTGGCTCCACAGCCGGTCCTTCCCTCGGGCCTTGGACACCATCACACGGCTCAGGGTGTGCTTGGGTGGGGGCCTGGCAGGCACAGGGACAGTCAGCGCTAACAGGCACCACGTTGTGAGACCCACCCCCACCCAGCCCCATCGCTGGAGGTCAGGGGTCAGAACAGGCCCTGCTCTTCCCTGCGGCCCCGTGAGCCGGGCAGTGCCAGCCCCGGGCCTCGCCTTCTCTGCTGGAAAACGAAGGTTCTGACTTCTGTGCCCCAGACAGCCCTGCCCCTCCCCACCTCCTCTCTCCTCTCCTCTCTGCTCCGCCCTGGCACGGGCTCTTCCCGAGTCACCCCTACACAGCTCAGCGGGGAGGCCACCTCCTCCAGGAAGCCTCGCCTCTGCCCCAGCAGCCCCGCCACATGCTGGGTACACAGAGTCACAGCTCCTGCTTGTGTGCCCATCTCCCCACCAGGACTGCGAGTCATGAGTGCCCAGGACCCCGCCTGGGGTGGCACAGCCACCTTCTCTCAGATGAAGGAAGGATAAGATGACACATAGAAGGGTCATCTCAAGGACAAAAATGGTCCTCTGCTCCCTCTGACCCAGACCCTGCTCAGAGGTGGGGTTGCTTTGTGATGCCCCCACCAGAGTCGCAGAAGCCTGCACTTGCCAGGCCCCTCCCCCTGTCCCTGTCCCGGGCCCCTCCCCCTGTCCCTGTCCCGGGCCCCTCCCCCTGTCCCTGCCCAGGACCCCTCTCCCTGCCCTGGGCCCCTCCCCCTCTCCCCTGTCCCTGCCCCGCACC